TGAAAGTCACATCCTTGGCCGAGAGACATCTCGGGAGGGAAGACTTGTAATGAAAGCCACATCCTTGGCCGAGAGACATCTCGGGAGGGAAGACTTGTAATGAAAGCCACGTCCTTGGCCGAGAGACATCTCGGGAGGGAAGACTTGTAAATTTTGCGAAAATATAAATCAAGACATAAATATCTGAATTGTATTGTTATTGATGATTGGATGCCTCGTTAAAAACCTTGCCGGCCAAAAACCTCTTTTCACAATTTTTTAAGAGGAAAAAAGACCGGTTTAAGGAAAAGAGTGCACCATAGGACATTTACATGAGTGAAAATCTAACTGTAATAGGTCTTGAGATGGGTGGAGTTCCATGTCCGAGGAATGACCTTGTCGGACAATTCTTCCAACTTGTACGCGCCGTTTTGGAGGGCGTGTCGGACGCGGAAGGGGCCGTCCCAATTTGTCGCCAACTTTCCTTTAGTCGGGTTGTGTCGTGCCGAACCGGATGCCCTCCAAACGAGGTCACCTTCTCGGAAATTTCGTGGTTTTAATTTGGAATTAAACCGTCGAGACATTCTTTGTTTGCACGCTTCGGCTATGATTTGTGATCTATCTCGGACTTCATCAACAACATCCAATTCGGCCCGAATTGCGCCATCGTTAGACTCTTCATGAAAATGTGTGCGTCGGAATGAGGGTTCGCCCACTTCGACTGGTATCATGGCATCTATGTCGTATGCCAACCGGAACGGAGTTTCTTTTGGGCTTGATTGGGGCGTGCACCTGTATGCCTAGAGAACTTCGGGAAGTTCTTCAGCCCAGGATCCTTTGGCCGAGCCGAGGCGCTTTTTCAATTCGAGAGGACCACCTTGTTGGCTGCTTCAGCTTGACCATTGGACTGGGGGTGTTCGACGGATGTGAATCTGTGCCGGATGCCGAGGTTCTCCAAGAAGGTATTGAATTTTTTATCCGTGAACTGAAGCCCGTTGTCGGAAATGATTGTGTATGGGATGCCGAACCGGGTGATGATGTTCTTCCAAAAAAATTTTGGACATTGGTGGCCGTGATGGTGGCAAGCGGTTCGGCTTCGATCCACTTGGTAAAATAATCAACAGCTACTACTAGGAACTTGCACTGACCCTTGGCGAGTGGGAAAGGGCCGAGAATGTCAATGCCCCATAAGGCAAACGGCCAAGGAGCGCTAACCGTGTGAAGCTGCTCGGCCGAGGCGTGTATTAGGTTGCCGTGTTGTTGGCATTGCTTGCATTTCTTCACATATTCGGCGCAATCGGTTTTAAGGGTCGGCCAATAGTAGCCGGCCCTCAAAACCTTGGCAGCTAACGTCCTTCCTCCTGAGTGGGATCCACAGATTCCTTCGTGAACTTCTCACATGACATGGTCGGCTTGCTGCTGGTCAAGGCATTTCAACAAGGGTGTGGAGAACCCTCGCTGATACAACTCTCCTGTCACTACGGAATAACGTGCTGCTTGGGTTCAGATCTTTTTAGCGTCGATTGGATCAGCCGGCTCTGAGCCGTTAACAATGAAATTCATGATGCCAGTCATCCAAGAGTTTGAAAGTTCTTCGATCGGCATGCATTCTTGTGGGATGCTGGATGTGGGTAATTCCAAGTGGATGGTCGTTCGGAGCTGTCCTGGTTTTCGACTACTTGCCAGCTGAGCTAGCTGGTCGGCTCTTTCATTGTTACAACGCGGTGTGTGTCGGACTTGTACATCCTGAAACTAATCCTTCATCCCTTTGAACAGATGGTAATACTTCAACAAGTTCTCGTCCTTAACTTGAAAGTTATCATTGACCTGTTCGGCCACCACTTTCGAGTCGGTCCAGCATACAATTTGTGTGGCTCCCATCTCGGCAGCTAGCCTCATGCCGGCAAGCAAAGCTTCATATTCTGCTTGATTGTTTGACGTTTTGAAGCCGAAGCGTAGTGATTGCTCAAGGGTAATACCGGATGGGCTTTACAAAATTATGCCAGTGCCGCTTCCTTGTTTGTTGGATGATCCGTCGACATGCATGGTCCAGGTATTATCTTCGAAATGGCCAAGTGGTGATAGTTCGTTGATGAAATCGGCCAGACTTTGTGCTTTTATGGTTCCCCATGGTTCGAAACAGATGTTGAATTCGGATAACTCAATCGACCATGCCATTATTCGGCCGGCTAGTTCTGGCTTTCGAAGTACTTTGGCGATCGGGCAATCTGTTCGGACCACCACAGTGTGGCTCTGGAAATACTGTCGAAGGCGCCTAACTGCGTATATGAGACCCAGCGCTACCTTCTCCAACAGTTGGTATCGGCGTTCGACATCTTAAAGCACTCGGCTGATAAAATATATGGGTTGCTGTTGGC